AGCACGTACATTGTATATAGGTAATTGAACTTGAAACTTAAGTGACGTCAATCTATTGATTGAACAGCTGGTTAAGTTCCTTAAGAAGAATCTCATTTGCGGTCGTCAGTTACATCTTTCAACTATACCTTACATGACTGACCGGTTTCTGCCTTTTTTAGATTAATTCCGCATAGGCACTTTGTAGGTAATCATGGCATAATTGAACGTACCTGAGGAAAGACGATCTTCTTACATTCTGTTCCGGTAGTCCAAGAGTCCAAGGAAGTGATTCCTAGTTGTGCTCCTTTGGGAGCAGATTGTAGGGCAACCCAGTTTATCTCAGCAGTTGAATTTGAGCCGTTGCTGTACTCGTAGATACAAGCGCGGAATTGAGTTCTATCTGCCGATTCCACCCAAATAGCAGCACCATTACCACGGGCCTTGTTGTTAACCGAGTGACCAAAGGAAGCGAAGACTTTTACTTGCTTTCCACCAGAGAACGGTTCAGCAAATGTGATTGTCTCACAAGCGAACAATCCTGGACTTTTGACAGTGACGTTGGTTTTTTCAGCTTTGAAACTGATTGCTATAAGAGAAGAAAGTGAGTAAAAGAAAGCTCCCTTTGCCTCTTGGCTATTCACGGTGGCTGCAATATTTTTTTAATAATTTCAAAACGCCTTGAGCGCAATGCCTGAACATAGTTCCGTAACTTGCCCTTTCCTTGTGCGCCCCACCCCCGATTCCTGCGTCTTTCTTGAAATGAAACTTTCATGAATTTTAACGTAGAAAATGACCATCAAATATCAGCATTTAAAGGCATATTCGTAAAACATTTCAATAAGCAAATACTTCATGGTACCTTGACTTCCTTGAGCAAGAAGCACAGCAATGCATATCGCGTAGAAGACAAACGGAAGATGTTGCTCTCCCACCATCTTGGCTTAACTGAGGAAATGCTTCCTCTCACGCGAATAATATACAGATTGTCTTTACGTGAAGGCATCATTTCTGTTGCGTGGACAGATGATGGAGTAGTGAAGCACCAAATTACCAAAAATGGACAAAATTTATCAAAGTCCTGAAGTTAAGGTCGAGTAAAGGGGGGAAACACTCGTAGGAGAATTGGCCTAAGTATTGCAGTAAATCATTCTGATTTCACAGAAAAATGACCAAAGAAAGAAAGAAGGTAGAACTTACGTGAACTCCCTCAGGCCCCTTTTCTCTCCAAGTATTTCTCCCCCTCTCACTGTTTTGCCCCTTAGTGGTTTAATCCTGACGCTTTGAATAAACATCTTCCCTTCACCTATACATCATACTAAGTACGTGTCCCAAACAAATAACGGGAATTTTTGCATATACTTACCTTATTCCTTTACTTTCTCCTTTTCCTCTATAGACAACTTCTCCAACTGCATATCAAATGTTTCACTGTGACTTTTCGCTTTAATTCAACGTTCCCGTGATGTACTATTTTGCTTTGGTAGTCAAGTGTCAAGAGTTGCGCAGCTTCTTTTGTGCCTGATATTGCAAAGGTCATAGACGGTTTATTCCCTTTTCTCAAAATGAGCACAGACAATTTTGCTCGATCAAGAAGAAGTAAAAATAAGTTCCACCGCTGCCATCCCATAGCTCTACAAAGTGATTGTTAATAAGAATTTTAATACCTCTATGTGATGCACTTGTCAGTTTTTTTCCCTTTGTTTCTCTGTATGTAAGAGTTGGAAGCTAAGAGAAGATTATAGTGTTCAGTCCTTTTAACGATTTAAGCTTCCCAAAGCTTTTAAACTTTTAAGAAGGGTTTGATATTTGTGATGTCTGATTTAGACCAACAAAGAAATAGGAAGCTACTAAAGAAAGTTGTTTCCTCAAAACTGAATAGTTTCAATTTGGATGAAAATGCTGGACCATTCATCCCTTTTGAAAGTGATACCTAACAAAAAATCCTTGAAGGACTGTCCACAATCCAAAGCTGAGTGCTAATGGCGAGATTAGATCGCACAAGTGGCTGTTCCAACACTAAAGAGGTGACTTTAACTTGCCTAGCTACCCCATATTCCCTCCTAACTTCATCTAACCAGCGCTCTCAACGCAGGATTTGTTTACAGTACTCTTTTAGTCATTTTTTTCTGATAAAAAAAATAATCGGTCTAAACGACCAAATATATTTCACCACCCTTGGGAGGGAGCAGTGTCATAATTTGAATGAATTTGAAGTTCACACTGTTATTCTAAGACAAAATGGTCAGTTCAAATTGCTGCTAACGACGCTTGCGTGATTAATGATTCAATCTTTCTCAGTACGCTCTGGTTCATTTTTCTTTTCGAAAATTCTGATATGACCTTTTGTTAGCACGATATTATACTTCCCAATGTAACCCCAGTGTATTTCATTGTGTTTTTACAATAATTTTTGGTAATCTGAACTTCAGGAGTAAAAGAGAAGGTCATCCCTAATGACATCAAAGCCAACCGCACTGCACGAATTGTATGTTTACTAACAAAGGTATGGCACATTTCCCAATTTTTGCTTTAGTCTTGATTTTTTGTCTCCACGTTTTCTTTTGTATTGTACATTTTAACCGATTATGACTCGTAAGATCATCTGACTAATCGGTTACTGAACGCTGGCACCGAAAATCCACCTCTTGACTAAAGCAAACCAGGCCGCTTGCATTGCTTCAATTCTTTAAATCGGGCCTCTGAGCTCTCGACCTTTATAAGAGAGAATTGAGGGCCTGTCTAATCCTCTCTTAGTTTCTGCTATGTCATGTTATGACAGAGCACATATATTGGCCTTCCTAAAAACTGTTATCCCGGTACACCTGAGCACATCACAAAAACGTTAATGGGGGCGGAGAGAGGATTGTGAGGGGTGGGGCTGCATGGTTTATTGTTGGGCCCAGGTAAAGTATCCTTTGAAACCCTTACTCCCTAAAGAGCCAGAAAATTAAGATGTGGGACTAAGAAGTGAGCCCGGAGGTAGGAACGAGCAGAAATTATGGCACTGAACCATCGCTGTGGGGAGGTTAGTTCCCTCCCCGCTCACCTGTGTCCCCCGGCCTCTCGCACCTCATACTACTTCCATGCGCCCGCTACATAGATTATACATATAGAATACTTCATGGAAAGTGCGGGCGTACGGTATTTTCGTACGAGTTGTTGACGTACTTCCAGAAATCGAAAGAGTGAGATTTCTGATACAAAAAAAGGGATCTCGGAAATACCGTACACAGCATTTTCCGTGTGGTATATTGTTTGTTAGATACAGAGACGTTCATCATTGATTCTGCAAGCCTTTTATTTCAAATCTTTTCGACATGCTAAAATCTGAAAAAAATGGTAGCTACACACCGCAAAACTGACGTGACAAAGAAAGCGAAGAATATTCATGGTAAAAACGTTTAGTAAAAACTATAATGAAGGTTAGGATATTAGGGTAACCCAGGAACTACAAGAATGTCAAATACAGAAACAGCTAACACCATGGGGGGAGGTTGTACTCCTAAGAATCATTGGAGGAGGGTGTGCCGCCTTATCCTGACCCGTTTTAAGACCTGACCTCTAAAATCCATACCAGTTTTCAAACCTGGAGGCAGTCACAAAACGCAACATACATGTTTACGAAGACAGACATTAGATCATCATTACTGAGATGAGAGCGCCAACAACAAAAAAGAAATTCTTAAAATTTATTTCGAATTCGCACATTATAGGTTTATATTATTCACCGGCTGGGAGGTCCGTATTGTGAGAAACTGTGCCCGAGGTCTTGAATACCGCCCCAGGCCGTAGGCCGAGAGCGGTACTCAGACCGACCGTGGACCGACCTAGGCCGGTGAATAACATCATTATTTTTTTCCTACTGAGATTTAAAAGTTTCAGGAAAATTTTACTTCAGCCTCCAACCTATGTGCGTTCGTGTTGATGTTATTTAAAGCGCGCGATCGATTGCAAACCAAAATAAAACATTACAACATGATTTTTAACTTGTAATTTATATTATCACAATTAAGCTCTCTTTTAGAATAAAGGTTTTTGTGTCTTCGTAGACAAACAAGGATAAAAGAAGTGAAGAACTTAAAAGCCACAGGAAAGAAAATACATCAAAGATTTTCTTCGGCTGAATATTTACTTTACAATTAAAACAATCGAGAAGGATAAAAACTGCAGAAGGCTTTATAAAAAGAGCTAATTACACATACCAATCTTAGGGTTTTGAAGTGAATTTGAATAAAAGAAGGTGATGTGGGTAACTAAACAACTATATTAACAAAGAAATAAAAACGGCGATAACCGACTGCTGGAAAAGTTGTTCGTGTTGTTTATTCAAGATTGAAAGCTACATGCAATCGTTTCGAAATCGTTGACAATAACCTTTTCTGAAAACTAGAAAACTAGCGAGGCAAAATTCAATGAAAAACGGCAGAATCTAGATTCAGACAGCAAAAATGGAAAACAAACCTACAAACAGAGGAAAAATGTCGAATAAATGGTGCATAACAGCAAGATTGCAGTACTTACAGCGGCGTAGGTTATAAAACTAGTGAAGCGACATCACGAGCCGCCTGTTGTGCTTTACTTTAGCGGTTTTCCTGGCTGACTTTCTGGACTCTCCCGTCAGATGTTTTGTCTGAATAACAAAATTCACTTTTCTCTAGATAAAGCTAATAATAGCACAAGTTTTAAAGGAAAAATGGTTCTGAATCACCGGTTTTGCTCATTCACAATTAACGACAAACAAACTTGTGAATGAAGCCGCTAACGATTCCGCCCGGGTTAGCGGGCAAGATCGTAAAAAAACTGCCCGCTCTCAGAACCAATCAGATTGCAGGATTTGGAGGATTCCGCCCGCTCGCAAACTTAGAAAAAAATAGTATCTTAATCATTTAGAACCAATTGACAAATATGTCATACACCACCGTAGCTCCCTCGAAAACTATTCCCGATTCCAGACAAATGGGCAAAGTCTTCAACCGTTTTCAGACCAAAACGGCGTAAAAACCCTACCCTTTGGGGCGGCACATACCTATATTGCTTATATAAGGGAGCGTCTGTAGAAATTAAGGAAATTACCGAAATACTTCTCACAAGCAGTATCTGTAGAAATGTATCACGAACTGAATTGCCCCAAAATTACTGAACAATTTTCAATCATTAGAGCATCTCGGGATAGCAATTTCCTTCAAACCTAAATTCCCCCAGAGAAGCATTCCTATCTCCAAAGCTCACAGAGCGACCTCCAAGACCTAATGCAATAAAGACAGTACTGGAAACTCGATCCAACCAGCCTTCTCCACTAGAAGGGGTTGTATATATAATTATCACATATGATGCATAATAAACGTAGCGATCAATATCAAAGTGACATTCGTGAGACACCACTGAAACGATAAAACTAAATTCTTTATACACATATTAAGAATGTTACATATAGTTTGTAAAAAGTGGTTAGCAGTATCACAGACCTTAAGCGGATTTTTTTAAGGTTTATTTAATAATATCATTCTCCTTTGACGACCCATTGCAGAATATGGTCAATCGAATGAGCCTTTAGCAGTCTTGACTGCTTCCATCCAGTCTTACCTTCTCTGATCGATAGATAGAGAAGGGGGCTTCAGAATGACTGTCGGACCGGGAGGAAGCCAGTTACTGTACATTTGTCATTTAATTAGAGGACCGCTCTACTGTAATCAAAACACTACAGAGCAACTACGAAACAGCATTAAATTTGTTTTAAAGTGCTTCATACATTGTAAGTGACCGTTTGCCTGTTGCTGATCAGTATTTCAATATTTTGAGGTTTTGTTGGTTAATTACCTAGCAGTGGTAAAGAGTAAACTAGGCTGTAGTACAATCATTTGACTAAGAAAATTATCGTTGGCCAAAATGCCTTATTTATGTTCTGCCGAAAGAGATTCAATTTGTTCACAATAAGAGTGTGAGCTACCTCAATGCCCCTACACCGATCAACGTGAAGGTTTAAGTTAACAAATGAATATTTTTCTCCCTGTCCACTTCTTAACGGTATGTCATTGTTGTCCATCCTAATTAATCTGTAAGTCAAAGGCATTGTTTGACTTCCTAGTAAGTTCCATTACTACTGTTTCCTTAATTTCGATTATTTTGAAGCAGCCTAAGAATAGAATTATTTATCCTCATATTAATTTGCAACACACTTTATATAACTTGCAAACCGGACTAATAGTAAGTTATCTTACCTTAATTTTGTTCTCCATCCTGTATTTTTAATACAAGAAAGAAAGAAAGCCACTTTGGGTGAAACTAAAGTGGACATGTAATACTCTCTTTGCTTTTAATCAGTTCCATAATAACGGCCATAGCAAGTAAGTATGCCATTAAGATAGTACACATAAAGAACCACAATTTCTCACTTTGACGTTTGTTGAAAATTCACAACAACCTGCAGTCCAGTGGAAACACACCGTCCTGCTGACCTGACCATCTGCTACTGAGTGGTGTCCACCATTTATCCAGTTTGTAATGAGAGTCCCAAATCTGTTAGTTGGTTGACATGAAGGTGGCATTCTTCTGCCCGCTGAGCCCTAAAAACGAAACCAGCATCCAGGTCCGATTCCACTGTCACAATAACCGTGGTAAGAAGTGTACGTAATCTTTCTGTCAGCGTTGTTAAATAAAGGGGCGTAGTGACTGCAAGCCAGACTGGTCCTCGATGATTACGGATTACACCTCAGAAAAAACAACGCACATTTTCAGTCTGCCATATAGTCACACATTTCCCACAATGCCTTACGAGCACGGGTACAGGAATCCCAACATACGACTACATCTCCCCCTTTTTTGAAATGAAGCAGTAGACGATGAAACAAATAAAACTCTGAGCTAGAACTGTAACAATCCCGTAAGGAGAGTTCATAAAACTGTTTGAAGATTTCAAGGAATAGTTTCTTCTCAACAAAATGTCTCTTGGACAAAGTCCTTATATCAAAATCAACTAGTCTCTTAAGCAATATAGTCTTAATAAGCCTGCAGCTTGGCTCGGCTTTCATGAGGGTAAACTTGTTTTGTCGCTCCACCTCTCCTTTTGCCTTTGCCAGCAAAGGAATAGTCCTCTTATGCTTGATCCCCAGCAACAAGATAAAGACTAAGGCGATGCTTTCACCCTAGACGACGCGGAACTTGATTCCACTGATGACCTTTTATATATCTGGGCAGCGTTAGCTCTGAACTATATCTGATCTTTGGTGGATTCAATATGCATACTGTTAAACCGGGGAGCGTAATGTCCTTTTAAAGTAGCTAGGTTCTTCCACGTGCGCCCCACCCGATATCCTTCTTTGTTCCTTACAACGAAACTTGCAATTCAGCGTAGAAAAATGTGTTGGTTAAGAGCAGTGCGTAAGCACATATTAATCTTAAAAGGTAGGCATACCTGGACTTCCTTGAGCACGAAGCATATACACTGTAGCTTCCATAGAAATAGCACAACTGGACAAGCAGAACGTGTTACTCTCCCGACATCTTGCTTTGACTAAAAAGTAATATTTCCTTTCTTGATCATAATATTTCCATTGTGTTCTCTTAAAGGGATAAGTAAAGCACAGAGAAGTAATCCGCATCAGAAGTAAAGCACATTGTATTTCAATTATTTTTTTTTTCTAAGTATTAGAGTGAGTGCCTGTAAACTAGCTGGATAAGCTAAGTGCACTTTTCACTATTAATAAGCCTTAACCTTTTTTAAACCTTTAAACGTTTTTTCATATCACATTATAGTGGCCTAAAAATGTAAAACGTTTAAACTGAAATGAACACACTTAATTAAGTCTCCTTTTGATTGGTCTCTTTCTCCCCCTCTCTCTTATTTGGCCTCATTTATTTAGGAAGTAGGAGTTCAACCCTGAAGTATTTTTTGAGTGTCGGGCTTCACTTGGCAATCCACATCCTTCCCCTAATTCACCCGTGTTCTTTTGTTCGACTGTTGTTTCCTTTTTCAAATGTCTTGATTAATGCACTTCCCAGAATAATAGCAAATGCAATGAATTCAGCATTGCATCCTGTGGATTTTCATTTCGTATTGTTGTTCTTGAATAAGCTCCGATCTACACATTTGATATGACCAGAATTCCCACCCAAGTGTCTGCAGGGTCTTACTGAGGCGAATCAATAATTAAAAAAAGCGATTTAGAGCAGGCTAGCAGAAGAACAGGCAGGTTTCGACGGATGAAGAGGCTGCGCCGAACACATATTCACTTTGTGCATGTGACATAGGCCTTTTCTATGATCACTTTTACAGAGGGACCGGGAAAATCGTGAACACTTGAAATATTTCAGGAATGTTTATTGCGTTATGACCAATTACAGCAAAGATCACGACACGCGAACTAGCCCCAAAACCACAAACTGTAATTAACGTTCTTGCTTGCCGTTTAGTTTTCTCACGCCTGATTGTTTCTTTTTTGGTTTTTTTGTTTGTTTTTTCGCGCAACACAATAACATTCCAGAAATATTTCTGGTGTTCACGGTTTTCTCGGTTTGACTGTTAACTAGCCTGGGATCAGGCTCCTCATTGTGGGGAAAAGGGGAAAAAAATCGCGCTCGGCTTGCTTCGCTCGCCGATATTTTTCTTATTTGACCCCGTTTTTTGTCTTTTCCACCAATGCGGAGCCTGGTCCCAGGCTACCTGTAATCCGAAATCTTTCTGCACAATACGCCCTCAGAGGCATTTGCTGTTAACTCCGGAGTACAAGTGAGGCAAGTAAGGCAGGTTGAATGGTTGAATCCTGTGTCTCTGGTATAATAGGTCGTTGCCATCATGAGAGATACAGGTCAACATAGAGGCATACAGTTCGACCTTCTTTATCCATCTTGAAGTGCTGATGATTTGGTTATACTCTCAAGTAATCGTCCTCGATCTTTGAGAGGAAAAAGACAGTAAATAGATTTGCCTGAAGCCCAAGGCTCGAGCCATGCAAGGGAATCCAATCTGGAATCTTGGAAATTTTGATGGAGGAATTCGGGATCCCGGGCTTTGGAATCCGGAATCCAAGGCGTGGAATCCAGAATCCGGACTGTCTTGAATTCCCTTATATGGGACGACAAGGCGATGCTCTCACCACAGATGCTCGGCGAAACTGGAATTCATTGATGACCTTATTTTATTTATTTGGGCAGCGTTATTAGCGATGAAGAAGGCTCTCGGGGAGATATTTTACATTAAGGTAAGGCTTGGAAAGGTCTGAGGGGTATTTAGTATACCACAACGAGTAGCTAGACTAAAGCCAGCTGTATAACAGCTGCGTGAGCTAGTTCGGTGTTTTTGCATGGCAGGAGTATTGGAAAGTGGCCAAGAAAGGTAAGGCTTGGAAAGGTCTGAGGGGTATTTAGTATACCACAACGAGTAGCTAGACTAAACCCAGCTGTATAACAGCTGCGTGAGCTAGTTCGGTGTTTTTGCATGGCAGGAGTATTGGAAAGTGGCCAAGAAAGATGATGATGATCCAAAATTGGTAACGACGGGAGATTTGTGATGGAGACCCGGAGAAAGTAGGTTGTCATTCTCGCCAGAGTCAAAAGATTTTTCTTTGATTCCTAATTAATCTCAATTTTCTAGAGTCGATTTGTTGGGTTTCTCACTTTCAGCACGCGAAAGGATACAATTGACATTTCGAGTCCTTCGTACGAGTGGTACACGACTTGCACACTCCCTAATTCACACAGTAAAACTCTACCGTCTGGCCTGGATTTAGCTAGATCGGTAGAACATTTTATGTAATACGGGTCTCAGAGGATTCTGGCAGTGAGTAAAATGACGCCAACGTGTAAATAGCCTATTGCCATACTCAATTAAAAACAAACGCAGGTAACAGGTATTTCATTAAATTGTACGTTTATTCTCAAAAAGACTCAATCCTAATCCAAAAATTTCCTCAACATTAAAAGAACATTTCCCATCTGGACCGCGAGTTAGTGTACTTGTAAGCAAGCAACAGTCTGCAGTAGAAAGGTAATTTTAACTACTGTTCACATTGCCAGCTGCAGCGTGTGCGCAAGACGAGAGTTGACTGTATCTATGGTCGTTATGCATTCTGTTTCCGATTTCACAGAGTGCATCCCTATAAAGATCAATATTAAAACAAGCAAGCAGATTCATACCCTTCCCTTCCCGGCACATCTTCTAATGTCCATCGTAGTTTATTTAGCAACTGCACGGTGTTCTTGGATTCCGTGTATATTTCTGATCACCTTGACAAGTGACACAGAAATCTGCATTGCCAATTTAATGTATTATTTTACCTATTTTAACTTTCTGGTAAGTTCTATCACTATTATTTATTTCTTACTTGATCTTCAAAGGGCTTGAAAGAAAATTTATCCTCATTTTAGTTTCAAGAAAATTGTTCTTGCTTGCTAACATGAGTAATACGTTGTCCTACCTCTTATTGTTTCTGTCTTTGCTTAAGTTATAGAAATTCAGATATTGAACTTAAGTGCAGTTCTTTTTTTCTATTTTTCTATTTCTTTTCTTTCTTTAATACAGTGAAGCCTACTTATTTAACTGAAAAGATAGAATATCTATTACTTTACTTGCACTTGTTTTTAGTCAGTGCCACAATAACGGAGATTACAAGTATATGCCGTACCACTAAGATAGTACACATAATATGAACCACAATTTCTCACTTTGATGTTTGTTGAAAAGTAACAGCAGTTACTATGAGCATGAAAACACGCCGTCCTGTTGACCTGACCATCCGCTACTGTGGGGTGTCCACCATTCATCCAGCCGGTTCCATAGGTGTTACACCTATCGGTAGGTGGACATGAGGTTGGCATTCTTGTACCGGCGGACCCCTCAAAACGAAACCAACCAGGTCCGATTCCACTGTCACAATTATAGCCGCGAGTAGTGTACGTAACCTTTCTGTCACCGCTGTTAAGACTTCCGTAATTCTGACATTCTGATATAGGAAAAAAGGAAGCAATTATAATTATTATCATGAGAATTAACTTAACTTTTGGAAAGATAGTAAATTGTGATATTTTAATATTTCTTGTAGTTTAACTGATTTCGTAAAGTTTAATCTGCTGTACATAAACAGCTTCAAAGTGGGTAATTTTCACGTCATCCAAGATCCCCCAGCACCTGCCCCACGGTGGCGATGATCTCTGTATGTACACGAGTAATTGAGGATTGGTTACTGACTTTCACACACTGGTAGACATACAGACCGAGGTTAAGCAATAACATGGGAAAGGGAGACAAATATATCTGTAGAAATTCTTTAGCTGCCTTGATCTGCGCCTGCAAATGGATGAGTTATCTGTGCTACGATGAAGTAGGGAAATAGTAGGTTAATAACATTTTATAACTATTAATAACAAATGTTTGGAAAAAAAGGATGAGTAAAAAAACATTTTACTTTTTAAAAGGAAACTACAGTAGAAATTGGTTAATACGGACAATTAGGGGAAATGCCTTGTCGTCCGTATCATCCGGATGCATGGCCGTTAATAAGGGGGTTCTTGGAAAAAAACGTCCCGGACACATGTTGTATTGATATAAAGACTATGTCAGACAAAGAGGAAGAAGGGTAGGAACAATGACTGCGGCGAAAAGCCAATAAGGAAGTGGAACTTTTGTAGAAGAAAAAAATTATGAAATGGCTATATATAGAACAAGTGTCAAACGCGGGAAAGACTGACTTATCACGCTATTCTGCTTCTTAAACCCAAAGAAATCTGTCATTGTTTGAACACTGTACAATATCTACAATTAGCACGTGATTGTTACAAGGAAAATAGACAGCGCGCAGATAACCAGTGTCCGTAAATAGCAGGGGTAAACAATGTATGCGAGTTTGTGCCTTGGGACACAAAAAGGTGTCCGTTGTCCATATTAAACGGGGTCCGTATTAAGCTTGTACATTTTAGAAACTCTCCGTTATATATAATTCGGTGTTTCGACTTGCAGAAATTAAAGTTTTATGTCTGTCCTCTTATTATTGATAGAAATTAGCCAATCAGCATACGAGAATTAACTCAGTTATTGTTAAAAAAAATAGAGCTTATAAAAACGTTCTAGTGTCGGTGATAAGAGACTTTAACTTTATACCTTTGTAACTATGAAAAAAAAAAAGAATCTTACTGAGTCGTCTTGTGCTATGAGGTTGCCTTGGAACTTTGGCACCAAGGTCGAGTTTCAAAATCCCTTGAGTTAGCTTGCCCATGAACTCAAAAGGAAGAAAAAAACTATTCCTGTTTGATTTTTTCATTGCCTGCAATTTCATGCAATTTCGTTTTCTTCTTCTGCACGGATCCGTGTGCGTCAAGAGATGGGTCATAGAGTAAATAACGGAAAGCAGCGAACTACACTCTGCTGGAGAGCCTCCCTTTATAAAAACAAGCTCGCGCAAGTGTCAGATACCGGATTGAAGCTTGTTATCATAATGATCAGACTGAAACGCGCGAAATATCAAACGCCTATAAAGTCTTTTTCTTTCTGAGCTTGTGTGCTAGTGGCATGATGCTCTCTCTTCAAATGGTGCGGTTTTAATCTCCCAGCCTGCTGCGAATTTCAGTGACGTTACAGTTTAGCCCCTCCCGAGTTTATTAAACTCAGTCGGAGAGGTAGAGTCCGTATTCTCCATATTTGACATACCAGATCTCCCTATCAGTCACGGTCTCCTTCCATATAAGGAGCATATTAAACAACCGCGACTGCGACGGCATGGAGCGAAAACGGCACAAAAAAGTGTATTCACGCTGTTTCAAATTAATTTTTATCACTCTTATTCTATTTCGTTCAAGTTGAAAACCAAATGTTGGTGAATGGTTTTTGGTGTTTAATTCTAAGGTAATGTATCTCAATGTAGGAAAAGGGAAAACAATCGTTTTCTAGTCTGAAAGCGTTCCGTGTTTTGTAATGTTAAAACACGAACAGCAATGTTTTATCACTGGTTTAACATTCGAGCGTAATAAGCTCAAGATTTTTTAACCAGTGATAAAACGCGTGCCTTGCTTTTTTTGCCAAGCCTTAAAAAAATTCGAGTTTATTTAACACATCATTTTTGTTAAGGGACTTGCCTCGCCCCTTATCTGTAACAGGTTTAGGAAAATGGTTGATGCGCACTCACGTAATATCGGAAACAGAAACAACTTAGGCATGCCTTCCTTTAGATTCATTGCTGGTCAGCGGCAATGAGCAGTCCACCTCTGGAATGACTTTGCAGAATGTTTAGGTAATATAGAGAATCTCGAGCAGCTTTAGGCTGAAGTGAAGAAGCGTCATTTCCTCATTTCATTTTTTTTTTCCAAGAAATTTCACATATTGTAAAGTAGATAATTATGCTTTTAATTATCAAATTGCAATTGTAAAGTTGGCGGAAAAGCCATTTTATGGGGTAGGCTGATGAACTATTTATAAACTGTTACTAAATAGTTCACTTCAATAGGACTGCTAAATAACGGTTTTCTCTTTTTAACTAAAAAATATAATAATAATAAAATGGGAAAACAAAAAAGGCCAAAATAACAAAGGTTGGTCAGATATAATTATGTAAATACATTGTACAACCTCAAGTACACAGTTTAAAGACCTGTTCACGTCTAGGTGATTAACCCGCCTGTCCATATTATCTCTTATTTTAATTTGATCAAGTTTACATGATAGGTGGGGGGTGACCATATGAGAGACTGTATGGACAGGCGGGTTACCCTACCTAAGCGGGTCACCTCACTAACATGGGGACCCCCACCTCCATGTATACAGGCCCTAAGTGTCTACCTGCCTTCGCAAAAGGGCTATCCAAATTAAAGAAATTTCCACAGTCATTCTGAATCGTGCAAGAGGGAAAAACGTTCGAAGAGAGTGTCACTACATCTAGCTGCGATGCGACGCGACATAATGGGAATTTGATATAAATTAAGTTTTGCGGAATTGCAAACCGGTCATTGAGGCAGACTGGTGTGCGTAAAAATCACTTCACTAACTTATTCTTGGATCGATGAATAAACAGTGGTGAAATTGGATTAGTCTGGTGAATTCTCAGTTGAAAAACTTCTACATTTTGGTGAATAAGTTTTTTAATATTTTAATATGTTTATTTATAGTATTTACATTAGATCTTTCAGTCATTTTAACTCGTATTTTTCCTCATACTGAAGACCGGAGGGTTGGTATTGTGTCACGAATGGCTATACTTCTTTTTTCTCCTTGTTGTTTCTTTTTAGGAGCTTAGACTCCCTTTTGTGAATTTTATTTCTGATAGTAGGTTTTGTTTTTGTTTTTTTTTTTTAATTTGAATTTTTTTCCTCAAAGGTTGTTTCTGAGGAGTTTCTCATAGGACTCTCAAGGCTTCTTTTTTGAGAAATCCTTTTTTTTTAACATTTGGAGGGTGACACGAGGTGAAATGCGTGTGCAAGAAGATTTCCGTTTGTTTAAAAGGTGTCTTTGCATCAAGGATAGATTTTTCCTTGAATCGTGTGTCTTTGTATACAACCGTGTCTAAAAACGCAGTTTCAGCGTCAAATGTTTCGAATTCAATAGTTGGGTGATGTAAGTTGGCTTCTTCACTGAAGGCTTTGATGTCTGGTTTACTCACGTCCCATAGGGAAACGATATCGTGTATGTAGCACTTCCAAACTGTTGTTCTAAAGACAGTTTTGCTTAGAGTTGTTGTTTCAATATATGTCATGAAAATGTTGGCAAAGGAATCAAAACTGCTGTCTTTGTGCCCATTGCAGTTCCATGGTTTTGTAGGTAGTGCTTTCCATTGAAGTGAAAGAAATTTTCTTTTCCTGGGCATTTCCGACAAGTAATGTGTAGGAATGAGTTGTCTTTGTAGACATTTTCATATGCTTTGTGACAGACAATTTCAATATACCGTCGTTTTGCTGTATATTTGTGTCAAGACTCGATCAAGACTCATATAACGTCCATAGAAACAAGAAATTTTCGGTGTTTCACATTTGTCTTTTCAGTGAAAGGTATGATTTCTGTGATTTTGATATTGGTTGTAGCAGTGTATCAACAAACTTTGT